CGGTGATGTGACGGAGGAGGTGGGTGGTTCCGCTGCGGCTGGAGCAGGTGAAGAGCTTCTGGCAGTGGTTGCATTGGCACTTGTCGCATTTGCCGTCTTCTTTGAGGATCTTGGTGAAGTGGTGCCACACTTTGGACCTAATCTTGCCCTCGCGCGAACGCTTCTCGCCAGGGCTGGCCTCAGGCGGGTAGTTTGCTTCCTGGTCGGTCTCGATTTGTACGTCTTCCATTCTGATAAAGGAAATGAAACGGGCGTGAAAATCACGGTTTTGGAAATAGGACTTAAAACATCTCTCTCTCTTGGTTAACAATTTCAGACAGGAAGCAAGTTATTGGGTTATTTTTTCACCAGCATCACTCAGTTGACAGTGATCCTCCTCCCTCCTCAGCTTAATATGAACAGTTCGTGCATTAGTGGATCATATATGCATCGGCTTAATGGGTCTACCAAAACTATAGTTACATTTTCCGGTAGTACCATAGAAACAGAACCTTTACCCAGCAAATCTCGTACTATTTGTGTGGGAACACAAGGGATTTTGGACTGTTCATCCCAACACGCACCCACACGGGTGTCTATGATTCGATGTAGGATCGAACTTACCCCTGTAACTACTTACGCAGGGTCGACTGTACCGATAATACCATGCCATCTTCTTTTCAATTAACTTACCCTACAGTAATCTGTGTCTTTATAATTTGCTGTGCCCAGTAATGTACAACTCATTTTCAAAACAGACATGAAGAACTTCTCAACCAAAAGGCCAACAGCATAAGGAATGATATTATTCATCAACCTCAGAACCTAATTCCAATCATTCATACTATCTAACCGAAGAAAGCTTAAAATCTTCACATCTCAAGTAAACAATCGATCACACACAGACGAATAGAAAAACTACAAATTAAGACACAAATCTACACTAGAGTTGCATAAACGTAGAAAGATTAACACCGACTGAGAGAAAAATGGAGAAGAAAATGGCACTTACCTTAACTGGGAGCAGCAAATGGAGAGATGGGCGAATGTCTGAGATTGAACTGCGAAAGGGCGAAAATGAATTCTAATGCAGCAAACCCTAGCCAAGGAGAGCTGGGTGTTTACGTCGGGCCTAGTTTGGGTCGAAAATGGGTGTAATGGGCCTAGATTGTAATTCGGGCTTGAACACACAGCCATAATCGGCCCGATTCGGCCCAACTTAGCAGTCGCTCTCCTTCTGTTCTATTTACCTACCATTTTTGGTGGACTGCAGCTACATTTGTAACACGATGTCGGGCCCCATATTTTTCGGGCCCTCCATATGTTTAGTTCGTTTTGCTATTCAAAACATGTTATTTGAGTAAAACTAGAGAAGCTTGAAAATGGATTTGGAACAAAAATAGCATTTAAGTGTAATGATAATCGAGGGCTGTAAGCGAGTCGAGTCCAGTTGAGCATTGGCTTAACCAAGTTGGGCTCAATTTTTCTTCAATGTTGCTCGAGCTTGACAAGCTAGACTTTTTAAAATTCAACTCCACTTTATAGAAAGAGAAAAATTCACTTTTTGTACACTACTTATACCTACTTTTCGATTTGGTATTCATGCTTTCAATTTAATCACTTATAGTCATTCATGTATATAAAATCCATCGGTTTTGCCCAAAATCGTTGATTGACCGTGAGTCAACAACGGTCACCTTTTCTAACCGGTTGCCTCCTTCTACACCAGATATAAAACTAGCGGATGCATCTCCCATTACAGCACAACCGACGACAACAGAGGGAAAAAAAATAAAAAGGAAAAAGATCTTGTACCATGAGCAGTTCAAAAGGAAGGTAAAACTGCGAGATTAATGGTGTGTCAGTGGAGATGACCTGTAGTTGTGGACTAAAATTGTACTTGAAGATCTCTTGGACCCGAAAGAATCCAGGAATAAGATATTGGACATGCCCTAAATATGAGGTAATTATTTTTTTTTTTTATTTGACTAATGTAACAAATATTTGTAAAAAAAATGCAGAACTTTGATTATTGTGGATTTTTCATATGGATCGATCCGAAAATTTGTGAAAGAGCAAGGAATATAATACCCTGAATAACATCCTTAGCATCTGGTTTTGTACTAAAAATCACCCCTAACTTCAACTCAGGATTTTTATCAGCTTTTAGATTATATTTAAGGAATTCACAATATTTTCATCCTCATCAGACCATCTAACACTTTAAAATAAATCACTATTCTAACTCAAGATCGTGCTCTTTCTCTATCCTGTCAAATATACCCTAAAAAACAAGCTTGTCTTCAGTTGATTTACCTTTATTTTTTTCCTTCAGTCCAACAAATTCTGCATATTTGTCAACATTTCTATCAAACCAATATCATCATCATCCATATCACAGTCACTATCATTGAGCTCCTCACATTTTGAGTCACTTTTATCAACAAAAGCACATTCTTCATGTTGTTCAGGTTGTTTAAGATTAGAGTAGAGGCTACCAAGAAATAAGAGGTCAATGTCCGATTCATTTTCAACCTCAAGATTAGAGTATGTGTCATCATCATGATGTAAATGCTCTAAAATCATTCTCACTATTCTGTTTTCAGGAATGAGGGTCATCACCCTATATGCCAATTGATCACTATCAGTAATTAAACTACCATCTTATAAACTACTTCCATGTGCATGCCAAGCATTCACATGATCAATGTCATAACCTAGTCGCTCTATAAAATCCTTTAACTCAATCAACCCAAACATCTCCTCATCCACCCCATCAAAGTAATCCAAACTCCCACTGAGTAATCTTTCACATGAGTATTGCATCATCAAACTACCATGCAGAAACTCAATTGTGAAGACAGTTGGTTCTAACAAAGGATCTACAACATAAAAAAATAAATAAATAAACAACTAAATTTAAATAGAGATCATTTCAACAAACAAGAACAAGTACAAGTACATAAACAAGCAATCTATCACGAATAATAAAAAAAAAAACCCATAACTTATTTAGCAGAAAAAAAAATCCTAATTTTTAGGGCACCTCTCACCATAATCAAATAATATGGTACCCTCAAAATTGACCATATAATTTTCATTAATTCTAAAAATTTGTGACAAACTCAAACCGAAAAATCTTACCATATTGAGGTTGCAATCCACATTAAATCCTTCTCGCCATGGATTTAGATGGGCCGTCGTAGTTTTGAAGATGGTCGTCGCAATTCTAAAGATGGTCGTCCCAATTCTGAAGATGTTCAAGCTCACAATACACCCCAATACACCACTTGATTAAGATAAATCAAAGAAATTCATTGATGGGTGTAGATTAGGGTATTTTCTTTCAATTAGGTTTCTTCGATGATAAAAATTAGGGGCAACCGATAAATTAGGTTTATTTGGAGAAGGCAGCCGATTAAAGAAGGTGATTGTAGTTGACTCACGATCGACTGGCGATTTGGGGCAAAACTAATGGATTTTACATACATGAGTGACTACGAATGATTAAATTGAAACCAGGGGTACCAAATTCAAAAGTAGGTATAACTGACCAAAAGTGATTTTTTTTCCTATTAAAAATATACAAATGCTCAAGATCGACTTGAATTTCATTAGTTTGAATTTTATTTAAAAAAATATATTCGAATAAGAATTTTTCATGAGTTTGACTTGAATTCAGTTAGAGTTAGGAGTATTCACATAAATTACACTTATACTTAAGCAGTCTGTCAAACACTCAAAACTTGTAACATATGGGCTCAATTAGACTCGAGTTCAAATTCAAGATGTTCACTAAACCAGTGCTCGATTAAACTTATGTTTAAATGAACGCTCGTGAGACGACCATTTTTATGACGATTACAGTTGATGTAAAGTAATAAAATAAAAATTTTGTTTAATAGTTAATTAAAAAATTTGTTTATTTGTACTCCGGGTTGTAGGGGATTCCCCAAACAAATTTCGGCTCAATTACAATAAAACCAAGAATATTATGTGTTATATAATTAAAAGAAAAAATATAGGAGTGTTGAAAGGGTTCCCCAATAGAATGCCAAAATTTTATTATTTTCCTCTGAAAAAAAAAAAAGATTTTATTTAATTTGATTTTCACAATTATATCATCTTATGGCCATTTTG